CAGCACATGAAAACACAAGAAACACGAAAACAAGGGCAACCTTTCTCCCGCGAGGCATAAGGGTAAAAGAATCTCGAGATCAAACTACGGTCGGTCATGCAGGTTGGGTGTACCAAAGCAGTCTAAATTCAACTATATAATAGTGATCATAGTCTAAAAATGTATAAGAGCATAAGGCAGCATGTGTATATATATATATACATTATATTATATCAATGCATAATCACTTGTTGAACGGCTGAAGCATGGATGCATTCATGTTGCAGCCAGCTTTTTGACCAGAATTGTGTTGTTATTGCCTTTGGCAGGTGAAGTCCATGGTCATTTGATCGCTAAAGTTCTCCAACCAAAAGGAGAGGGATCAGTGATCGCCGTCAAAATAATGACAGCGTCTGTACAATCAATACTTCAGGACCTTGAAGGTCAAGTTTTCATTTGCTCCTTATTGCAGCAGAAAGCTCAAGGAAACATGTCAGTGCAAGACTTGACAAGCTCAAGGAAACTGAAAGTTTCCCAAAAGTCTAGGAACTAAATGAATAGTGCGAGGGCTTTCCTGCATTCCAGCTGCTTAGTATCTTAATAGCCTCTAGTCCTACCCCCCCCGCGGGATAAAGAAAACTTACCCCTTCAGATCTACAGTAAATCCAAGGATCGGATAACGGCAAGCATCTCTTGGCCAGTGAGGGCTTTGCCATTCAACTCCAGCAGCCGATCCCCCGAACACAGTGTAGCATCGGCATGCTGCATATTCCAATCAGCCAAAGGTCCTACATTTCAATTTCGCCCTATGCCCAAACTATATATAGCTAAGTTCAGCCATAAATGATTAGAAACACCGACATGGCCTCCTATGAATTCAACAAAGTGGATGCTACTGTGCTGCAACATCCTATTCAAGTCCTCCAGAATGTACTTCGCGAATGACTGCTCCAGCTGATGTATTGCTGAAATCTAGCGTTGCTCCAAGGCTTTCCGTCTTGATGATTGAGGCCACGAGTATTTGTGGACGTACCAAAGACAGTGTTACTGTCGCAGGCAGTTCTTCTTCGAGTTTTTTCATTTTCTGAACCACTTTGAGGGTGCCTTTCGCCTTTTCAAGCACTTCGACTCGGTCATACTTTTGAACACTTGAAGGGTTGAGTTCATTGAACTTCTGAATCGCGCCGTATCTGATATCGGTGATCATCGGTCCAAGTGCACCTGAAATGTCCACTTCTATTCCCAGGGTCGCATGCTCCCTGAATGGCACTTCCATGCTGAAGCTGCTGGCCTTTGTGGCTGTTTCGACTGACTCCGCCTTGGAATGCTCTGTTTCCTCCAGCTTCACCACCTCAACATCCTTCTTGTCTTCATTCTGCCTCAGTCAGAAAGAACCTACCATGTTTTAACCAAAGTGGTTCAAACAGCCACGGGGTTGATTGTGCAGGACAAGAACAGATGAGCGCAGAACTGACAATTGGACTCTTTGTTTCTGTACACAGGGGAGACTGTAGATCCCACTGCACAACCATTGCATATTACAGAGGTTCCTTTGGACTTTCGTAGAGAGGGAGAGAGAGAGAGAGACAGAAAGAGAGCACAGGAGACAAGCACTTGTTTGTGAGAACAATTGAGAATATTGTGTTCCGATTCTTTCGGGAATGAAGAGTTCGAAGCCCAAATCACACTGCGAATCCGAACCAACTTCAGTTTGAGTGGCTCTGACAAAGATGCGACCCCGGTCACCTTCACTTCGGCAAGTTCGTGAGAATCCAGGTCCAAAGCACAACAGCACGCTGTTGTCATCGGGAGCAAACGCCGAATGAATGCTCTGATAACTTTGAACCAAAAAGGCTACTCAAAGGCAACTATACCTCCTGTGCAAGTCATATTCCTAGGAAATAAAATACCAGCAAAGGTCTTGACAGACAGCGTGCCTCAAGAACTCCATTGGCTCTTGCTGCATCTGGTTCAAGCTGGGACCACCTTCAGCTTGGATTAGCGCCTCAGAGTTCTGGTGTAGCTTTCTCAATCGGTTCTGGATTTTGCAGGTTAAAGAAGGAAACTGAAGCGTGAAGCAAGGACGCAAGACGGAGAGGCACGACAAGGCTTGCATCGCAAGCGGCAAAATTGAACAACCCAAGCAAATTAAAAAATATGCTGGTGCTCTCAAAAACAAGTGAGAGCCATCAAATACAAGGCTCATTACCCTTGTTTTCCCTTGTCTTTCAGCTTTCTGGCAGATCCAATGCTGGATTCAAAATGGCAACCATGCGACAAGCGCTTGACAGGCTTGACAAAGAGTTTCGATTAGATTAGATATGCACATCGGCACCATCGGTGGTGGCCTCGGCCTCCGCCTTGCGACCTTCACCTGCCAGCACTAGCACTGTGAAAATTTTCAGCTCTTGAAGTGCAGTAAGAAGTGCACAGCGAATCTTTGAGACGCAGAACATGGGCTCATTCAACTCAAACTCAAACGGTGAACCTGAGCCTGAAGAAAGAAGAGGAGAAATGGAGACAACAAATGGAAAGGACAAAGCGAAGGAAGCTGCAGGGCCAAAGAATCGACCCAAGTCGGGTCATGCAATGCCATGCAATTGCTTCCTGGTTCTGGTCGAACCTCTTCGGTGACGGATTTCTTTCTCTGAATCGCACGTTGAGCTTCTGGCCTAGAAGCTGGGCATACCGCTGAGAATCAAACCTCGGCACTTGAAAGTGGTCCCTTGTGGACTGCAACTGAAGACAGGATACAATCACAAGTTCGATGGATCCATTTACTGCTCTTGAAAGAACTTAAAAGAAAAATAATGTCTTCAAAAGTGCAGCGATCAATGTCCAACCACTTGCATTTATTGTAGTCAATTGTGTTCATGGTCTGGGAAGCGCGCTTACACTTACACTTCTTAAAGAGAGGGGAGCGCTGTGAGCGGCGCGTTTTTCGATGAAAATGAGCATTTTTCAACCTTTTTCATGCGTTTTCTTGAGAATGATTGATGTGTCTGGCATTGCCTGGAAGGATCTGCCTGGAAGCGCCCAGATGTTATTCAGTAAGATCGGTCAAGAAACCTACAGTGATTATGAAAAAAAGAACCAAAATTGGAATGATAGAATGAATGACTTTACAAGAAACTTAAATGATCACTTTAAACAACATAGAACACTATATGCTGAAGAGAAAAATATAGCAAACAAGGAGAAGATAGAAGACCGCAGGGGCTTATGGAATGCCTATTCATCACCAAGTGCTTTTTACAAAACAAGTAAGACTTTATACATAAGTGGCACAGGTGGTTGTGATGGATCTTTAACAAGGGATATTATGGATGATCTGTTATTAGTACCTACTAGAAATGTTCGTCACAGTGAGAAATACAAACATGTTATAGAAGAATTGGAAAAGTCACCAGAAATAACCCGTTTGGTTGGGCATAACCTTGCAAGTGCTGTAATAAGATCAATCAAGAACAACCTAATACATTTGCTACAACAACCTATGCTACCCCTACAATAAAAACAAAAAGGAAAGGAACAAAAGTCCCAAAAGACTTGACTACCGCAATCCATCCGATATTGTTTCAATGTTGGATGGTTACGCTGTAACTTCTGATTTGAAAGAACCTAACCCTTTAATGAGCCACAGCTATATCAATTTTGAAGGGAACGGCCTTTGGAACATCAATCCCGGCACCAATATAAGCAATGGATTTAACCCCAATCACTCATTAAAAAAAAAAAAAAAAACATTTAAACTTAGTTAAAATATGTAATGTTATGGTGGATTACTCCAAGGCAAAATTTTACAGAATACTAAATGACAAAATGACGATGTCTATATTGGTGCTACTTGTCAGCCATTGAGTGTTAGAATGGCAGGACATAGAAGGGGGCGGAATGGCAAAGATAAGAAACATTACAAATTGTTATCACACAATCACCCAAACATTCAATGCTGGTGGTGGTGAAATTAATATGAATATTGTAAAATCATCTTCTAAACTGACTGGAGCATTCATTACCTTATTTAGAACTCCAAGGAGTGGTGAAGAACTGAACCGATACATACCTGACAATTATGTATATAAGAGATGGAATTAATCCTATGATCTATGGAAGAATTAATGATACTGGTAATGCTGATACAAATGACTTACAAGGTACAAAGGTTTTCAAGATGCCACCCGTAGTTTAAGTTGGCAAATTCAATTAAGCAATTCCCAGAAATACACAGAATTTGAAGCGCAATCATTATCATAAATCTTTTACTATTTAAGAAGAGCTATACAGTACATGACAGTTTAAGTTTTTCGTATCGTCAATACAGAAAGAACAAATTCATTATTGGTATGTCATTTGAAAAAATTGCAGATGTCAATTTTACTGGTTATAATTCTAAAATGTCAGGTATTACCAATTTTCGAGTTAAAGGAGCAGAAGGAGCATTATTAGACCCTAATGAACAAATCACTGAGGGTTTCAGAGACTGTTCTGGAATTGAGAGAAAGTGGTAGTATTGTCTACTTCCAAGGAAATTGAAAATTTAAAACATCCCAGGAAATCAAAAAATCCAAAATTCCAATTTTCCAAAATTCCAATTTTCCAAAAAAAACAAAGAAACCAAAAAAAACAAAAAAAAACAATTCTGCACAGACCATGGGGGGAAGAGGGGGTGAGGCAAAGTCCTGGCACAATTGGTTTTTTTGGTTTCTTTGGTGTTTTTGGAAAATTGGAATTTTGGAAAATTGGAATTTTGGAAAATTGGAATTTTGGAAATTGCCTTTGGGGGAGGGGGGGGTTGAGGCAGAATAGTATTCTTTCAGTGGCACAAAAACCAATAGAAACGCAATACAAATATAGAAACAAAATACAAACAAAATGAAACAATGCAAAAACGCGCCGCTCAGAGCGCTCCTTTCTGTTCTTAAATTGAAGAGGATCTGCAATCCCAAAATGGCATCGGCTATTGTTTCTGGAAGAAACCTGAAGGGTTTCGTGCATCTTTGCATTCGAGTGGCTCCGAGTTCCACTCTGGAGGATTTTGCATCACCTTCATCAACTCCAGCTCAAGCGATGCACCAGCTTGAGCGGGGAGGTTCTTCTCCTGCATTTGTTGTGCTTTGCTGGTGCTGAGCAGCTTTTGCACTCTTGAACTTCCCTTGCCAAAAGGATGGTTGGACTGTGAAATTCAAGAGAATCAGGTGCATGTGATGTTTGGAAGAATGTTCGGATTGTTTGCGTGCACTGCAGTGATTCGCCCCTTTACCACCTTTGGAAACCTTTGAATCCTGCACCTTTGGTGTCCAGTTTGGTGCATTTCCTGCATCTCTGTCCATCTCCTCACTCTTCAAATCAAGTTGTTCCCCTGTGAGTCCATCAATGATGATACCAGAACCTCAAATGGCAGGGCCAAGCAAGGAATGGAACCCTGTCAAACCATTCGTTGAACACTTCCAGACGTCCATACACCTGCAAACCAACAATGCTCTGCCTCATACCAAGCAGTTCATGTCTTTGCATTGCTTATCCTCTGCATTCTTTGAGCTCAAGCAACCTGCCAGCTTCGCCAAATCAGGTTTGGGCTTTAATCTTCTCTCCTTGGTTGAACTGCATTGCAAACTGAGATAGGGAACAAAGATGAATATTAAAAAAGAATCAAAACTTGCAAATTGCAGCAAACTACGAAAAGCTTTGTCTAGATTCTGATAGTTCTCTAAAATTGAATGATAGCTCCAATGAAGAGAAGTTTGGAACCAGAAATCGATGAACCTGTGCCTCAGATTCGCACTCTGTGCCATGTCGAAGTTGGTGGCTCTGAAGTCAAGAAGCCTCCCAAAAGCGGCTTTTGACGCAAATGAAACCTAGAAGCTGTGCTCTCTGACAAAGCTCAGACAGACTTAAAAAGACCCACAATAAGAAACTTGGAAAAACAAACACGTGGCAAAGAAGCTGATGAGGCCATATTAACTTCTAAAGCAAAGCCTCCAACAGGGCAGATTGTTCAGTAAGAATCGTGGCCATGCTTGCAAAAACAGATTGCGTCAATAGTGCAGTCATGTAGTCAAGTCAGACTTGCATAGTTCGGTAGTACTTCATTGTGCGAGTTTGGACTGGCTCCTTTGGCCAGGCCAGTCGATGAAGGCTTGGCGTCAAAAGCCTCAGCTTAATGCAAGTCAAGTCTGTCCCAGCAAATGCCTAAGGCCAGCAATGGTTGCTCAGCAATCAGTAAATTTGTGTTATATAATTAAACCTGTCAAATGATAATTATATTCAAATGAGTAAAAGCCGAAAACTTGCACGGAGTCAACTATTTTTTATGCACGAGAGCCAGTTTGACTGCGGCCCCTGCCGCAATCTTCCTCTCAAGCCGCCTCAACTGCTTCTCCAGCTGAGATGATTCGAACTCCTTGTGTCAGCGACTGCAAGGAATCGCCCTATCTGGGTCAAAAAATATCGCTCTCTAATTGTGAAACACAGAATGCGCAATCATCGCCTCAAGTTCCCTCCATCTCACCAGCAGATCTGAGCTAAAACTGTGTTTTGTAACTCAAAATATATCTCATCCGTGCAGACCTTTAGCTTAACGTGCAAAACCATTCCAGCGCAAACCACAAACAGGACAAAGAAGCCGCAGATGAAAAATCGGTCTGCTCAGCCAATGCCACTAGGGGCGTCTCACCACACAACAACTCAAGAGCTTGATGTCTGCAAACGAAGACGGCCGAAGGCAAGTAGAGCCAGTCCGAGGCACCGCAGACCAGGCCACTCAAGCAAACACCTGGAGACAGCAAAAGAGGCGACCCAAGCAACTCAGCGCAACCAGAGCCAGCCAGAGACAAGCAGAGAAGAAGCTACCAGCAAAAGCACCCTTTCAAAGGAGCAATCATCCGATCGTTCGAGCTATACCAGAAGGACAAAACTCTTTAGTGGCTGTCAGGCTGTCACTAATGGCGATGGCCTCCAACCTACTAAAGATCCCCCTAGCACAGGTGGCGGGGAAGGGGCGAGTGTCTGAGTCTGAAGACGAACGATGGCCTCCAACCTAATAGCGATGGCCTTCTAAAGCACTCTTTCAAAGGAGCAATCATCCGATCCGAGTTAAACCTGTTCAGGGCCAAAACACGATCGACGCACAGTAAAAGCCAGCCTTGTCTGCACACTGTGCTCGCAGGCGAGAGTTCTCTTTTGTCAACGCCTCTATTCGTTCGCGTAGCCCAGCCATCACCTCGACACCACGGGATCTCTATCCATTGCTGCCACGGCTACAGATGCTAATATCCAAAAGAAAAGTCCTATGTAAATCTTGGCAGAAACTTGACAGACCTCAAGAAAGAGGCGGTTCAATCTTGTCTTTATCACCATGAAAGACTCCGTCCTCAGCTTGGTATCCATTCGGCTGCATGGCTGCAAAGAGCTGAGGCAATTTATGTTTCACAAAGCTTGCCTGTTCAATGAGTTCACCGAAACTCTATCATATCATATCCAGTGTATATGAAGTGTCTTTTTCCTAGTGAGTACAACTACCCCTACATACTCAGGAAAAGCTGTTGGCATGCTTCACGCCCCACCTATGTAGGGCTATTCCGGAAGACTCAAGGGTTGGGGCAACCAGAAAGACGATGCGAGATCTATGTCAGTTGCTTTGTTTTGCCAGCTCCTCCATTGCTCAGATAATCTAGTGGCCCCAGGGACACACTTCACTTTGTTCTTGCTTGTCCCTTGTCTTGTAGAAAGCACTCAACCTGTACACTCTCAACATTCTTGACTTGGCACAGTAGCTCAATTCGCGCAGCAAGCTTCTTTTGGCTCACACAGAGTCCTGGATGAGTTTGCCTCAACATTTTGTTGAGGATATGTCACAGAAAGTCGGCTGGCGAACGATCGGTCACATCTAAATCGAGCAAGTTCTGCAAGTCTTTTTTGAAAAAAAACACAACTATCACCGTTCGCTTGCGACTGTTTTAGATACCAGCAAGCGCTGGAGAAGCTAGTTTCCAGCAGGGTCCAGGATGAGGTGACTACTTGGGTTGACATCGTGGTTGCGAAGAACCACAGAGAACCACAGAATGGACGGAGGTGGCTCTGCATGAAAGGGGGAAGTTAATCTATCAACAGGGTAGAATTGGATAGAACAAACCGGCCACAACGCTTCATTCATTTGAGATCATTTGAGACAATGTTTCAAAGGGCATCACTCACTTTGGACGTCACGCCCTGCCAACATGGTCACCATATCCGGCATCCTGCGTCCTACGAGTACATCGGCGATTTGTCCGATGCTGTCTACAATGAGAAAGGGAGTGTGAATCCAGTTGCTGTGGACAGACAATCTTCTTACGACACTTCGCATGGATGTCGTCCTGCACTTCAAATCCCAAACGTGGGATAAACTCTACAGACTCTACAGTGCCAGTCCCAGTGCCGGGCATAATTCAGCGAATGGATGCAATTCCGCCACAACTGGTGAGGCCAGTTGATGTGTGAGTTATTTTCTATGTACCATCAGACTTGACTTATCCCTTCTTCTCGGCACTGCTTTTGGCATCACCTTTTGGACTAGCTCGGTCAAGCTCTCAGGGACCTGAGCTAGGGGAGGAGGGACATGTTCGTTTGAAGGTCATATAAGTCTGTTTCCAACATTGTTCTCAACTGTCTGTAGGTCTGAGCTGAACATGTGAGCCTCCTGCTGAAGAAAAGATTAGCCCTCGAGCCCGATTAACGATTAACAGCAAAGCTCCCACTGATGTGCTATGGCTATGGGAGCATCCCATTCAATCCTTCTTTACAAGCATGTACAAACACATCATCAAGTTCGAGAGCGATGCACAAACACATCGGCCTTGCTCGGGGTCTCCGACATCTTGCCCGGGATATATCTTTGATGCAAAAAAACACCGATTTGCAGTCATCAATGAGCTTCGGTAGTATCTGAATGTTGAGCGCATTTGAGCGCTCATCTGAGGATTTCCTCTGAAATCATCCAGCTTCTTTGTAAGTTGAGCGGACAACTGCATTTCTTCAAGCTCCCGTACGACCTTTTGACCTGACTATGGTATACAGCCAGCTGGTGGTACTATGATCTGAACAAAGCAACTTTGATCATGATGGAGATGCAAAGTCCATCACTGAATTCAACCCCTTCATTTACAGGGTGCGTACCAACTGCGGCTATGTTTGCGACTATAGTCTAATATTGGCATGGCGCTGGTCCTGTTGCACAGCTGATACTCATCTTGACACATTCCTCGTGTTCGACTCCGTACTGTAGTCCCGATTTGTTTTATCGTGTCTGCTATCTGACAGAAAAGGATTGGAGTGTGGCTACCAAATATGTTACCATCTGTATACAGGATCTCAAGAATAGAAAAACCGGAATGGCATTGGCCAGTTGGTCTGATTCTCCCTCATGGGTTATAACCTGAAAGGTGGTCTGTGTCAATTGTGCTTCAAACTCTGAAAGCACTTTCATCATAATGTTGTGCTACTCATGCATCTCGTGAGATTGATCCCAAGGTTGGCATGTTGATTCCTCAAGACCATTGTGCTAATCTCTTTGAATCAGTGCAACCAGGAAATGAGGAGCTCGCATCCACCAGGCAAGTAGAATCACTTTGTTGTGCACATATTCTATGATTATCGTGGCTACATACAGCTTTGCCTCTATGCTTGGGCAATCTGTGTCTTCACCGTTTTTGAGCGATTTGATCGATATCATCTAGAGACTCGTTGATTCATGTCCAGTGGCAGAGGTGTTGAAAATGTATGGTTCTTGTCGTTGTTCACTTGGTATCAATCACATGAAGCATAGAACGGGCCGTGTTTGATGCAGTATTTCCCAGAGCTCGATGGGCTCAGTCGCCACTTTAGCGACGCTCAATGCAGAAAGGTCCCACGCCCTTTTGTTGACATACAAACAGTGTCTAGTTCTCGGTGTCAGTCTTCTCTCTTTATTTGTCTATTGCAAGTCAATGATCATCCTGCCTTCGTCGGATATGGAGATTGCTAACTTGTTATTTGTTGACCATGCTTGCCTTTGAACTTACATGAATTTGACTGGAAGGGATATTTGCACTTTTTTGACCCAACCACCTGGAAGTCTGGCATTCATTGGCTCAAACTTGTCATATTCTCCTGATTGCTTTACGCCATTTTGCAACTGCTACCAGTAGGAGCAAAGGCTTGTGCTCGTTCCTTCTTGCGTTGCCAATTGTGTTCAGGCATGTTGTCTACCTGCAAAGAAGATTTCAACTGTATAGTACATGTGTGGGCGACTGCGACTTCAGATGGTACAAAGTTCATGCGGCTGTTGTGGGGCTTTGAGGCCTGAGCTTCCAGCGATTCGGTTGGCCCTAGTGACGCTGGCTCCTGCATTATGAACAAAGGGCAAATGGAATTGTCCTCGTCCCGAGTGGCATCTCTGAGGTAATCAGCTTGTTTGTTTAAAGCAGTTGAAGGCGCATCCAAGTTGGACACAAACAACACACCACAAACGGTTGCAAAAGCTGCAATATGCATGATTGGAATCGAAACCCGGCGCATCGGCTCCCTTTTGAGCTGAAGAAGTTGACACCCCAAAGCCTGAAAGTCTGGGAAAGAGACCGACAGTCTTACATAAATGAATGCATCATGGCAGAGCTGAGAACTGGACATGGTGTAGCCCTTAGCTTCGGCAACTCAGTCCAGATCTAGACTGAGTCTAGTAGACTTCCAATTCTTGCTTATGTTTTGGCAATTCCTTTTACACCTGAAGGAACATGAACCAGTTGAAGAAACGCTGCACAAAAGGGCAGCCAAACACTGCCGCAACGGAGGGGTAGGAAGACACACGTATGTGTTGACAGGAAAGCAAACAAAAAACCAAGCGGGATTGTATTCATGTGAGTTACACAATGTTACACGTAGGTATCCATTTTGCACCACATGAGCGACAGTTGCCCAAGCACTCACATCAAGGGCGCCCTTCTGGCCTAGAATCCTGCAGCAAACTTTGGCACTTTCTTTCTTTCTTTCGTTTGCCAAAGGCGTGTGGGTCACATTATACTAAGTACTGTACACAAAAAAATATTTACACGCCCGTAGGCACCCCTACGCCAACCGCGGCGCGCTCACATTACCACTGCGTCTCGGTCAAAGCTGTAGCATTTCATTAATATCAATTTGGTATCGAAGTCCAGGTAAAAACCTGGTGAGTCAAATCTTTCATTTGTGTGATCCTGCTTTTTTACAATTGGTAGTTTCTTGCCGCATTCTGTATATGTGCCAGTTGTTCAGGCGATTGGTTGAATCCTTCACCATTTGGACGTATTTTTTCCCAGACAATGTTCAAGGTGGAGTCTATCCATCGCCTTCGGGGTCGACCTGGTCGACGGTACAGCACTTCAAAAGGAGCCGCCGTATCTTGCCGAAAACATACATTTCTCAAAGGATTTGTACGCGGTTGTCTTAGAATGTGTCCAACTAAAGCGATCCTTCTTTGACCCAGCAGCTCGCTGATCTTTTGAATTGTACAAGTCGGGTTTTGGCGAGTTTGAATTGCAATGTTGGCTCTTCTAAAAACTTCTTGGTTCGTGTTGGCTCTATTGACAAAAGTTGTTTGCATACCCAAAATTTTTCTCAAACCTTTCAAATGAAACGCTTCCAGGCGCGACATCTGCGCACTTGGGATTTCCAAAGTCTCTAGCCCATAAAGTAGTTTACTTTTGATAACAGAATTGAAAACTTTGGCACTGGACCCAGTTTCAGCACTAAAACCCTTTGTTTGTCCATACTAAACGACCACACCCCGTTGCCTAACCAAGGCACACGTTACCGTGACTAAAGCCAATATTTGTGTGCATTGTTTTCCATGATCTTCCAACGTTATCTGGCCCTTGCCGTTTGCAGTGGGGTCTGTGGCTGGTGTGCCTTGGCTTATGCAGGGGTGAGGAAGGTTGCCCTTCTTGGGGGTGGCAATCCACCTGCCGGGCGTTCGGGGTCTCTATGGGTCTTCCTTGATGGCCGGCGGGCGCACAAAAGGCAGAGTTGCAACTTCCCTTCAGCTAAGCCCAAACACGCCCAACAAGCCTCCCCACCCAACTTCAAACATTTGCACACCGCAAGCAGGGTCGGATCAAAAAGCTCCACCGGAACACCCCCTAAGCCCGCGGAAGCATCTGTCTACCGACCCATCAGCCTCCGCCGGCCCAAAATGAGCCCCCCAATATTCCTTCTCGTTTTCCAAAGAAGCACCGCAAAAACACGAGTCGGACATTGGATTGCACACAGCTCCTACTCTGACATCTCCTGTCGGCATTTCAAAAGCTGACTGGCTGACTATAACTTTCAAATGCTCATCCAATAGTAGCAAGGCAAGGACCCCCTAGTAGCGTCCTTGCTCCTAGTAGTCAGGCCAGGAGCCCCCAGTAGCGTCCTTGCTCCCAGTAGTAAGGCCAGGAGCCCCTAGTAGCGTCCTTGCTCCTAGTAGTAAGGCCAGGAGCCCCTAGTAGCGTCCTTGCTCCTAGTAGTAAGCCCAGGAGCCCCTAGTAGCGTGCTTGCTCCCAGTAGTAAGGCCAGGAGCCCCTAGTAGCGTCCTTGCTCCTAGTAGTAAGGGGCAGCAGCCCCTAGTAGCGTCCTTGCTCCTAGTAGTAAGGCCAGGAGCCCCTAGTGGCGTCCTTGCTCCTAGTAGTAAGGCCAGGAGCCCCTAGTAGCGTCCTTGCTTCCTAGTAGTAAGGCCAGGAGCCCCTACTACCATCCTTGCTCCTAGTAGCAAGGCCAGGAGCCCCTAGTAGCGTCCTTGCTCCTAGTAGTAAGGCCAGGAGCCCCTAGTAGCGTCCTTGCTCCTAGTAGTAAGGGGCAGCAGCCCCTAGTAGCGTCCTTGCTCCTAGTAGTAAGGCCAGGAGCCCCTAGTAGCGACCTTGCTCCTAGTAGTAAGGCCAGGAGCCCCTAGTAGCGTCCTTGCTCCTAGTAGTAAGGCCAAGGCCCCCTAGTAGCGTCCTTGCTCCTAGTAGTAAGGCCAGGAGCCCCTAGTAGCTCCTAGTAGTAAGGCCAGGAGCCCCTAGTAGTGTCCTTGCTCCTAGTAGTAAGGCCAGGAGCCCCTAGTAGCGTGCTTGCTCCTAGTAGTAAGGCCAGGAGCCCCTGGTAGCGTCCTTGCTCCTAGTAGTAAGGCCAGGAGCCCCTAGTAGCGTCCTTGCTCCTAAGTGAAAAGAGCTGAAAGATGCTGAAAGTAGCTTCATATTCCGTTTGCTCTCTGCTGGGCTGCAGTGCATGAGCAAAAGAGGACATATCCGACACGGGTTTGTGCCTCACCACAACTCAATGGATCGCACAAAAGTCAGTCCGAAAGCTGTGCGGGCCATTGTTCACAACCTCTTCTAATCCAAAAAGGTTGTCGAAATCTAACAATGTCAATTTTGATATGTCATTCTCTGAAGCCTTATCCCGCCTTTCCCAATGGCTCCTTGGACCATTTCGCAAGAATTCGCGGCATTTCTGTGATCTTGACGTAATCACCTTCAAGCAAGGCGCAGACTCGCCAATTGTTGGGCATGAAGGCAGGAGGAAGGTAGGAAGTAGGTAGAACAGGTGTAAAGTAGCAACTTGAAGAGCAGAAGGACGTTCTTCATGGATCCCTTCGCATAGTCAAAACGCTTCCTGGCTTTGTTTGCGAAAGTGGCTGAGGCCACTGAGGACGCAACATTGTGATCTGCGGAGCTAGGCTTCAAGACTGGGGTGTCACCAGGGCCTGTCGAAGAATCTGAATTTCCAAACAACAAGAACTGAGTTCCTGCAGGAGCAAGATTGTATTTGTCACAACTCTCTTCACTTCTAAGTTTGCAGCCAAGCCATTTGTCGTTTGCAGAATTGTAGACGACTGTTCGAAACCCAGCCCTTGGGAACAAACAAGTAGTTGCAATCACCGCTTGATTGTTTGATTCATACTTGACATTGCCCTCTCCGCATTTTCCTTGTTCGTCTCTCCCTGATCTTTGTTTTGCAAACTCCGAGGATCGAATTGCCAGGCAATGCGGACTGCGGACGTGAACTCTGAGACCTGCCAATCTTCATGAATTGAGAGTGGCCAACACAAATGAGATCACAAAATCTTGAACCTGTACCTTCCATGGTGCGCCATGACCTTCCGAGATCTGATCTTTTTTTCGCAAAGTCAAAGTCATTTCACCAGGTGATCCAACATTCGTCGTCGCCCTTCACACAGGATCTTTGATCCGAAGCGTTTCTCAACTTGTTCTATCTCAGCTATGAAACGCTTCACGCCGGCTCTGTAGAGGACCACATCTTTGGACGTCATGTAATCGACTGCTTCGATGACGTCCTGCACTTGATAAAGCCAGCTGTTGTGTGTGTGTGTGTTGTGTGGGTGTTGTCCGCGTGGCCACCTTGGAGTCACAGGTTTGCATATGCATTTGAGGTATTTTGAGGTCGTGTAGAAACTCCCTAACTTTCCCTATGCACATTTTGACGTTATCGTGTTTCTTCCTTATCGCTGTACAGCACTTTGACTAACTGCAACAATTAGTCTTATAATGTAGTATACAGTATACATGTGTGTGTGCGCGCGCACTGCATGCACGTGGTGTGTGGAATCTTGCAGACATGAAAACAATAGGCACAGTTCATTCCAACTACACCCATGTGCTGGCCTGCCTACGGAAAGGTGTTTTAGGTTCGCTGTGATATTTTTGTTATCGCGCTGTTATCGTTTTCACGCCTGGTGCAAGTTGGAACGCCATGTGGCAGGACAATGCTGTAGCACAGGGTTAAAGCGCTCCAAGCCCTCTTACCGGTGTCCAAGCATATACCCACCAAGAGCAGTCACGCATTGACCCTGACAGTTTGGAAAATAGGTTTTGTGTTTGTGTGTGTGTGCACGCGTTTTCTTCACACCACGCCTCGCATGTCAAGGGTTTTCCACAAGAGTCATCAGGGGTTATCGTGTTTGTTTTTCTCGTTTTACAGGGGATTGTGCATGCTTCCAGAAAAACGGATATGCAAATACTAACTACTAATTTCTTTCATGGGAGGGTTTTATGCAGTCTCATTTGTTCTTTTTCATTAGCAACAGCCAGTTTGCCCTCATGACATCGTGACTTGATGCTTTTTGCGGGTCCTCCGCAACCATGCTTTCAGACTTTGAACTCTTAAGCAGAGGGATCAGGCTTTCAGTGACTAGCACACAGCATGTCTTGGGACAAGGCTTTTCCTTCGCCTATATAGGTCCCTACGTAGACCTCCAACCCTTGGCATGTCTTGCACTTTGGAAGCCCGCGCGTGCTTGCAGAGTGACTTCGGTTCACCGGCTGAACCAGGTTCAGTCAACCCTGTGGGCTTTGACGGGAATTCTCATCCATAGCTGGCTCGGAGGACAACAATTGGCTGACTGACTGAGTTTTGTCTGTTTTTTCCATGCTCCCTCTCACTTCGTTCCCGGGCAAGCCGGCGGCGGAAGTTTCCAAAAGAATATAAACCTATAGGAAATGGGCATGTGGCAGGCTGATTCGCCGAGCTGCGATGTTCTTTGGACAAAACAAGTTGGAACCGACCAATGGAGCGAAAGCGAAGCAACCACCGTCAACTGTCTCGCAGGAAAAAAACTTGTTCATGCAATTTTGCAAAAAACAAAATAGAGATGACTCAGGCACGTACTAAAGTTGTACTACAAAGTCGCCAGTTCTCAGCTTCCAGCTCCACGGCTTGCTCCGCGTACTAGAGTTGTACTACAAACTTGCCAGTTCTCAGCTTCCAGCTCCACAGATACTCCGCGTACTAAAGTTGTACTACAAAGTCGCCAGTTCTCAGCTTCCAGCTCCACAGGAGGTGGGTGACTTCGTTTGCTTTGGGATCTTGCCCGGCCCGACCTTGGGAAGCCAGTGACCCCACCCCAGCTTTGTCTACATCGTTAGACAGGTGAAACGCAGTCAGGATTGAAATGGGCCGGTGCGAAGATCCTTTCGCGGCGAACTAGCACAGCTTGGAAGAAACTTGCGTTGACATGGTTCCTTTCCTCCTCACCCCACTTCAATGAAGCTGGGGTTCTCGGCGAGTAACTTCCTTCCCAATTTCTTCAAGGCAAGGTGGGCTGGCGCATGACACAGGGTGACGCCAAGGCAAAACCATTTTCCCCAAGCATCGCTGATGAGCTGCTAGCCTTCTTTCACTTCTTGCAAGAAAGCAAGCAATCTACAGCCTCTCCTTTAGCTTCCGTCAAGTTCGTCACTGCCGACGAGTTGGAAAGATTTCCTTGAACAATTTCAGTGCTCAGTTGTGGCCTGGGCTTCCCAATACACATGAACCTAATTGTGGCCTGTTAGTGACTTTTCTCATCATGACTAGGGGTGCCCTGAGATGTGCGGATGCCCAGTTCCCAGTGAAATTCAGACCCGTGATGGAGCTTGATTTGGTTCATCGTCTCAGCAGGTACACCGGAGTGATCGAGTCCAGCTATCAGGCATAGCTGCGTGGCGCGCGTTTGCAGAATGGCCTCGCGCCCCCTGCAAGAGCAAAAGGTTCTGAAGACAACTTATAAATCCAGGGCGTAGAAACGTACACTCTCGAAAACAGGGGAAGTGTGTGCCTGGAAAGGTCGTTAGGCGCCACCGTTCTACTTGGAAAGATACACGTATATGCAGCTGGAGTAATATGTTAACGTTAAGCTTTTTTGTCCTCAGCAAGCAAGAATGGGCCGAGAAAAGGCGCGGAGACAGGAAGGCGGGGAAAACAAGACCTGACGGGCAACGCGCAAATGATGGGAGCTTGTGGACCCGGAGCAACAGCAGGCTCCACAGACCAGCGCAGGCCGCAAGCCACCACGGAAATTGGCTTGCAGAGGAAGTTGAGTGAATTGAGTTGAGTTGCGTTGAGTTGAGTTGGTTTCAGTTCTTTTCGGTTGAGAGGAATGGAGTGGAGTGACTTGAGTTGAGTTGAACCTCCATGCGCAGATTTCGTGGCAGGCGCAGCGCTTTGTGAACCTGCGTGCTTCTCCAAACCTCGACGGGCAAGCTCCGCGGAACGACAATTGCGAGACGGTCTCGGGTCATGGTCGGACCATGTTCGGATCATGGTCGGAATCGTCCCTCGATTGCGATTAGAGGTTTCAGTTGTTTCTTGAAGTGGAGATTTCGCGGCAGGCGCAGCACTTTGTGAACGTCCATGTGCAGATTTCGTGGCAGGCACAGCGCTTTGTGCAGATTTCGTGGCAGGTGCAGCGCTTTGTGAACCTCCATGTGCAGAGTTCGTGGCAGGCGCAGCGCTTTGTGAACCTCGATGTGCAGATTGCGT